TGTGATTGGATGTTGCCGAGCTCCTGCTCGGTCCGTCTCTGCAGCTGCTGGAGGTGAAAGGTCAACTCCTGACTGAGCAGCGCAAACCTCAGCAGGCCGCCGTCTCCGTCCGATCCCTCAAAAACCGACGCCTGGAACGCAGAACCATTAAGGAACCTTCAGTCAGAACCATGTGAGCAGAACCGGATCATGAGGAAAACTGCTGGAACCGACCCGTTACCGACAGAAAAACTAAAACTCAGAAAACAGAAGTTCCCTTTTCTATTTTCATTCATCAGAAGAAATTAAATTTCTGATCTGGACTGAAACGAAATGTGAGACCTCTGACCTGTCTCACCCATCCACAGCTATTCTGGCCCACTCCAGACAGACTTCTCACCTGTCTCACCCATCCACAGCTATTCGGGTCCACTCCAGACAGACTTCTCACCTGTCTCACCCATCCACAGCTATTCTGGCCCACTCCAGACAGACTTCTCACCTGTCTCACCCATCCACAGCTATTCTGGCCCACTCCAGACAGACTTCTCACCTGTCTCACCTGTCCAGAGGTATTCTGGCCCACTCCAGACATACTTATCACCTGTCTCACCCATCCACAGCTATTCGGGTCCACTCCAGACAGACTTCTCACCTGTCTCACCCATCCACAGCTATTCTGGCCCACTCCAGACAGACTTCTCACCTGTCTCACCTGTCCAGAGGTATTCTGGCCCACTCCAGAGAAACTTCTCACCTGTCTCACCTGTCCACAACTATTCTGGTCCACTCCAGACAGACCTCTCACCTGTCTCACCCATCCACAGCTATTCTGGCCCACTCCAGACAGACTTCTCACCTGTCTCACCCATCCACAGCTATTCGGGTCCACTCCAGACATACTTCTCACCTGTCTCACCCATCCACAGCTATTCGGGTCCACTCCAGACAGACTTCTCACCTGTCTCACCCATCCACAGCTATTCTGGCCCACTCCAGACAGACTTCTCACCTGTCTCACCCATCCACAGCTATTCTGGCCCACTCCAGACAGACTTCTCACCTGTCTCACCTGTCCAGAGGTATTCTGGCCCACTCCAGACATACTTATCACCTGTCTCACCCATCCACAGCTATTCGGGTCCACTCCAGACATACTTCTCACCTGTCTCACCCATCCACAGCTATTCTGGCCCACTCCAGACAGACTTCTCACCTGTCTCACCCATCCACAGCTATTCTGGCCCACTCCAGACAGACTTCTCACCTGTCTCACCTGTCCAGAGGTATTCTGGCCCACTCCAGAGAAACTTCTCACCTGTCTCACCTGTCCACAACTATTCTGGTCCACTCCAGACAGACTTCTCACCTGTCTCACCCATCCACAACTATTCTGGTCCACTCCAGACAGACCTCTCACCTGTCTCACCCATCCACAGCTATTCTGGCCCACTCCAGACAGACTTCTCACCTGTCTCACCCATCCACAGCTATTCTGGCCCACTCCAGACAGACTTCTCACCTGTCTCACCTGTCCAGAGGTATTCTGGCCCACTCCAGAGAAACTTCTCACCTGTCTCACCCATCCACAGCTATTCTGGCCCACTCCAGACAGACTTCTCACCTGTCTCACCCATCCACAGCTATTCTGGCCCACTCCAGACAGACTTCTCACCTGTCTCACCCATCCACAGCTATTCTGGCCCACTCCAGACAGACCTCTCACCTGTCTCACCCATCCACAGCTATTCTGGCCCACTCCAGACAGACTTCTCACCTGTCTCACCCATCCACAGCTATTCTGGCCCACTCCAGACAGACTTCTCACCTGTCTCACCTGTCCAGAGGTATTCTGGCCCACTCCAGAGAAACTTCTCACCTGTCTCACCCATCCACAGCTATTCTGGCCCACTCCAGACAGACTTCTCACCTGTCTCACCCATCCACAGCTATTCGGGTCCACTCCAGACATACTTCTCACCTGTCTCACCCATCCACAGCTATTCGGGTCCACGCCAGACAGACCTCTCACCTGTCTCACCTGTCCACAGCTATTCTGGCCACCTCCAGACAGATTTCTCACCTGTCTCACCTTTTCAGAGGTATTCTGGCCCACTCCAGACAGACCTCTCACCTGTCTCACCTGTCCAGAGGTATTCTGGTCCACTCCAGACAGACCTCTCACCTGTCTCACCTGTCCAGAGGTATTCTGGTCCACTCCAGACAGACCTCTCACCTGTCCAATCTTTATGAAACAACTGCTCCATCTCTCTGGTCTAAGGGATACCTTCTCCAGATGTTTCAGCTCCTTCCACAGATGCTTATAGCCTCCACATGCATGCTAATGCTACACGCTAATCAATAATTGTCTTTCTGAACTCCAGAACTTTTAGGTTTGACCCATTTCTTCATAATAAATCTGTTTTCATAGCAAACCAAGAAACCGAGACAATGTCAGAGATGTCACACGTGATGATGTAATATTTAGGTGGCCACGTTGAGCCGACGGGGTCAGAAACAAGAAAAGGTGATCATAAAGGTGTGAACCACCAGGCTGAACGTCTGAACCGGGTAAAGTCCTCGGCTGAGCTGCTGGGAGACGACAGAGCTTCTGAGTTATTCTGGCAGAACATGAAGCTCGCCCCGATCCACCCCGTCAGCTGTCTGAGGACACGTGAGTCAGTCCGGCATGGAACTGGCACGGCGTTCCACACCGCTTCATCGGTCAGGAGCAAACGCACTGGTGGCTTCCAGTTTTATTATTTATCATAAAGACATCCAAACGAAAAGTTTTAGGGAAACAGCGACGATCAGAAAAACAAGATTTATCAATGTTCCCATCTGTGCTGTTGCACATTCCCAATCTGGGGTCCGTGACCCCAAGGGGGTCCCCATAAGGTTGTCTGAGGTTGTGCCGTTACAAAGATTACAAAGATTATTTGTAAAAATTACCTTTTTAAATCCCAATAACACACCCGGTGGCATATCTCAAACCCTGTACGTCTGTATAAAGTATGTAATTAATCACTTTTAACGTTTAAATGCGGGCAGGAGGTGGGGTTGGACTCAGGCACGGGGGTGGGAACTAATGGTTTGGAACAACCGATCCTTCTGCTTTAGGGAGGAATACAGATCGAGAAGTTTAAGCGGAAACATGAGACCGGTGAAACAACCGGAGACGGAGCAGCTCCAGGTTTTAGGTCCGTGTTTTAATCCCAGAGTTTAAATAAACATTTTAACTTCTGATCTTTCATGAACTGGAACCAGACAGAGAGTTTAACTCTGGAGTTTACCTGCTGGCTGTCAGCAGACGGGAACCGTAGGAGGCTAACTTTGTCCTCTATCAGCTGCCGTAGTTTTCCCACCGAAACAGGAAGTTCTTCTTTGCTTCTGTGGAAATCAGGAGACTAAAGAGAAGAAGAACGAGGCAGAAGGTGTCAGAACGTCTCCCAGCAGCTGACGAGTCTAGGACGTCCAGCTGGATTTAATCCTGCTGTTATCATGGAAAACAGATCGGATCAAATCCAAGGATGTCGTGAAAATCACACCAACAGTAATTATTTAAGTTTAACTGAGAAAACAATCTAAATAATCGGATTTATTAGGAAAAATCTTTACAAAATAAACCTGAAATTTTGTTTCAACGTTTGAAGTCAGAGTAGTGAGATTAAATTAGACATTTTTGAGATTAAGGCAGATTAACTGTTAACCATCAAAGTGCTGAGACTAAAAACCAAAGCACCAGGAATAAAGTGGGAAATGATTAATCCTGAAATGTTACTTTAAGATTTTATTTCCAGAGTAAAACGTAAACTTCAGAAAAAGATTAAAGCCGTTTATGTTTTCTGTAATAAGGAAACTTTTTTCCACCTAAATCCCGAAGCACTCCACGTTGACTTTAATCTCTAAACTTGAAAACGTTTTTCAGCTGATTCTGTAAATATTATTTTGAACCAGTCTTGATATTCCAGCTTTAATCCCAGATTCCTTTGGATTGTCCATGATGGGACTCCGTAGACCTGGGCTTCGTGGTCCTACATGTGGACTCTAGGACCTCCTCTGATCCCAACTGACTGGAAGTTAATTCAGCAGCAAATAAAACTAAATGTTCAGGGATTAACAAACTGATTTCATATTAAACTCAGATTAAAAAGCAAAGGAAATGAGGTTGTGAACATGGAGGTGCTTTTATTCTAACGACTGGAGGAGCCAGTGGCGTCCGCTCGCTCCAAGCACTGAACAGATTCATTTGTTGGGAGGTTTCAGACCCACAACCAGCACTGACGGGAACATCAGCAGCAAACCTGAACAAACTTCTAGAGCAGAAACTCCATTTTCATCCGTGTGAAACTACAGATGGACGGTTAATGTTCGCCGCCTGAGCCGAGAGTGGGCAGCACAGCCAGTCTGTGATTTCTGATTAAACACAATTAAAACTGGCCTTTTAGAGTCTAACGCGATGACAGGAGCTTCGGGGGGAGGGGGGACACTAATTCTACGTAAGATGGCGAGAAGAAAAAGCTAGCAGGAAGTGGATGACTTCAGCAGCGCGGGTCTATGTGCAGACACAGGAAAAGTTCTTTTGTTGTAATTAGAAGTGAAGCGGCGGCTGATGAATGATTCTCTCCTCATTACTCTCTAACCCCGGCTCACGGAGACGATGTTTATGTACGGCTGATTTGTTTCCCTAATTATGTTTCCCTGCTAAACATAATTGGTGAAACAAACGAGTCTATAGGAATGTAGTTTCTAAGTGACGGGGCTCTTCTGTCAAAACAACACGACCTCCCATAGTTTATGGCTTTAAACGAAACTCAGGGAAACGCCTCTGAAAGCTGGAAATCAACACTAAACATGTAGATGTCAGCGCTCAGAGGACCCATCCCGTCGTCTTCAGCCGGGATGAGTCATCGCACCAGCCCCGCCCCCAACAACAACCAGCTTTTCAGCTCAAATTAAATCTTCGTCTCAGAGACGTTGGTTTGAAAACAGCTTCTAAACCGGTGGTGTGTTTGAAAATCACCAAGATGACCACCAAAATGTCAAAGTGTAACCAGACAAAGCAAGAAATCAGTTTGATTGTAGAAGGTTTTAACTTTTCCAGCTCAGTGGAACCACGTTTAGCAGAGTATACTTGTTTAGTATTAAATGTGATTAACTGGGCGTCTGTGAGACTTAACAGGCTCCTAAAAATAAAGGGGGGGGGGGGGGGGGGTCAGATGGTCAGATGTGTGTGTCTCACGCTCAATGTGTGAGAGTCGGCAGTTCTTGATTTTCCAAGTAACAACCACATCCATCAGCATGTCAGCGACTCCCATTAGACCAGAGCACATGTAGCTAGCTCCATGCTAGGCTACACGAAGGTTAAGTTTTCATAAACCAAACTCACATTTTTATGCTTGGAATCTTTTATTCCAAGGCCTAATCTGACAGAACAGGGTGGAAGTTGTCTCTGGACGTCAGAAGGAAGGGATGGAGGTTACCGCTCAGCTTGGCTCCAGAGGAATAAAGACCAGAAATCTTTGTGTTACCATTGATTCAGACCTGAGCTTCACAGGTCACGTGACTAGATCAGCGTTTTATCATCTGCATCAAACAGCACGGCTCAGGGGTCTCATGTCCAGACAAGACCTGGAGAAACTCATTCATGAATTCATCTAGCAGGCTGGACTTTTGCAATGGTCTTTATGTTTATGTTTATTTATGTAGCAGACGCTTTTATCCAAAGCGACTTACAATTTTTAAGTTGTAGGGCATGTTGTGATCTGTGGGGGAAACCGGAGAACCCGGAGGAAACCCACGCATGCATGGGGAGAACACGCAACTCCACGCAGAAAGGCCGCAGCCGAGTTTTGAACCTGCAACCTTCGTGCTGCGAGGCAACAGTGCTAACCACTGCGCCACCATGCAGTCCAGACTTCAGACTGGTCTTCCCAAAACAGCCGTGAAGCAACTGCAGCTTATTCGGATTTCTGCTGCTAGAGTCTTAACAAGAACCGAGAGAACCGAACACGTCACTCCTGTTCTTAGACCTCTACGGTGGTTAGCAGTAAACCACAGAATCAACTTCAAAGTGCTTCTACTAGTTTACGAATCGCTCAGTGGCATGGGACCAGAACACGTGTCCGATCACCTTCCTGTAGCCCAGCAGGGCTCAGAAATGAAGCAGTCAGCTGGAACCGGGTCAGAACCAAACTGGGTGAAGCTGCTTTTAGCTACTAAGCTGCTCACAGATGGAATCAGCTTCCTCGTGACCTCAGATGTGTCCCAACTCTAGAAACATTTCGATAAAAATCAATCAATCAATCAAAGCTTTATTTATAAAGCGCCTTCCGCAACCCTGTCAGGAAGCCCAAAGCGCTGAACATTGTACAGTTGTATGTAAATATATTGAATAAAACAACAATAAAAGAAATTCAAATTACAAAATACAAAATGGAAATTACAAGATAGATGAAACATTCTGGTAAAGGACAAATGTGTGAAACACATTTGGATTGAGTGGATGGATTGAGTGTACCAATGAAAACTGTGGAATGGATTCAACATAAAAGAGGGCCAAAATCAAACATGTACTGGAAACACCAAGCGGAGGAGGTGTGTTTTTAGGTGATTCTTAAAGACTGGCAGAGAAGGGGACAGCCTAACTGAGGGTGGCAACTGGTTCCAGAGTAACGGTGCTAGGACTGAGAAAGCCCGGTCCCCACGGGTACGACACCTAGACCGAGGGACAGCGAGCAGGCCTTGGTCAGAGGAGCGCAGAGCACGTGATGGGGAATGTTTGTTCAGGAGAGTGGCCAGATAGGGGGGAGCACCACCCTGGAAGAAATGATAAACAAAGACGAGGATTTTGAATTGTGAGCGATAGCAAATCGGAAGCCAGTGCAGAGAGGCCAGAACCGGACTGATGTGGTCCCGTTTCCTGGTCCCAGTCAGGAACCTGGCAGCACTGTTCTGCACAACCTGGAGGCGACGCAGTGTTGACTGACACAACCCTGCATATAGAGAGTTGCAGTAGTCAAGCCGAGAAATAACAAAGGCATGCAGTACCCGCTCCAGGTGGGCTCTCGACAGCATAGGCTTGATTTTAGCAAGGCGTCTCAGGTGAAAGAAACTGGACCGGATCACAGAATTGATGTGAGCATCAAATTTAAGTCCTACATCAAGTTTCACCCCCAAACTGGTAACAACTGGTTTTGAGTAGGGAGAAAGAGGGCCAAGATCAGCATAACGATCCACATTCCTGCTGTTGGGGTGAAAAACAATGAGCTCTGTCTTTCCCTCATTCAGATGTAGATAGTTGGACATTAGCCAAGACTTCACCTCATTAACACAGGAGACAAAGGACTGAATAGAGTGACCTTTCTCCTGACACAATGAGTGCGTTTACATGCAGCCAGTAACCCTTTTAAAACCCGAATATTCACAATAACCCGGTTCCGCACGGCCATGTAAACACTGCCAAAAACCCGGATATGCTCATAACCGGGTTTTTAAAAACCCGGTTACTACACCTGGGGTAACCCTTTTCTAACCCGAATGTTTGGTCGTGTAAACGCATACCGGGATATCCCCATCAAAGCGTGTGTGCTGCGCATGCTCTGTTCACAAGGAATCTTGGTCTTTTGAGTAGTGAGATGTCTTGTATGCGCCAGAACACCGGAAGTAAACAACAAGTTGGGAGCAACATGGCGAGTCGCGGCACAGCACCACACTTTTGGAGTGACGAGGAAACTAAAGCGCAAACAAACGCGGTCGCTATCTCTTCCGAACTGGGAAACATGTTGCTGTTTTCACGGATACCGGAACAAGAAGAACCGGAAATGACGCATATTGCGTCTGGACGTAGTCCATACGTCCTGACGCTACACCAACGTCCGCATTTAAATCGGGTTATGCAAGTTAGAGGTAACTCTTTCTATTTATGCTTGTAAACGGGTTATTCTGATCAACTCAGAAACCCGAATACCGACCTTTACCCGATCATAACCCGGATATTGGCTGCATGTAAACGTAGTCATTGGAGAGTAAATCTGGCAATCGTCAGCATACAGATGGAATGATAGGCCATGTTTACGAAAGATTGACCCCAGAGGTAGCAGATAAATGGCAAACAAAAGAGGACCAAGGATCGACCCCTGCGGGACCCCCCAGCGGAGCCCCTCCCAAGAAGAAAAAACATCACCCAGTTTAACACAGAATGTCCTGTTTTGGAGATACGATCTAAACCAATCCAGAGCTGACCCTTTGATCCCAACCCATCGTTCCAAGCGATCGAGTAGAATCGCGTGGTCAACTGTGTCGAAGGCTGCTGTCAGGTCTAACAACAGAAGCAGCACAGATGTTCCCTGATCTAGTGATAGGTAGATGTCATTTAGGACCCTCAGTAGAGCCGACTCTGTGCTAT